TATGTGATTGATTTGCGTATGAGTCTTGTGTATGAGTTTGATTCTGTTATTCAATCACTTTCGAACGCTCGAAACTCAGAGTTGTCCAAAGTAATGAAGATGTTAGTACACAACATTCCTAGTACTACGTATTCATATGCATGTGATTAAAATTTAATTTTCTTTCGTTTAATCTAATGATTTTTACGATTTTTTTACTTTACAATGTATACAGGTCACACCTTAAAGAAAATTCTTTCAAAAAGAGTAAGCCACAATTACTACACATAAGAATGGAGGTAAGCGTATAATTTTTGCTATTTCGTTCTATTAGTAATGAAAGTATTATTTAATATATTAAATAATTGTACTATGTTCATTGGAATTAGTGTGCTCAACAATGTGGTGGTACCCAATGTGCTTATTATGTGATGAGATATATGTATGAGATAGTATCTTTCCATAGTGATTGCAAGGGTAATTTGAAAGAGGTTAGTGATGAAATGTATTACGACTTTTGGTTGATGTTTTATTTTTATAAAGTATAATTATATACACGTTTTTTTTTTCAGGAGTATTTGGCAAGACTTGCAGCCTACAACGATGTAGAATTGGATGAGATTCGAGAACAATGGGCTAAGTTTTTTAGGCTTAATTTTTTGTTGAAAGACTAGTTATCTTATTAATCGATGTTATGATTTATCGCATTTAGCTTAATAAAATGATATAACACATTTTTATATATCTACTTTAATTTTATTTAGCCTATTGGTTATTGTTATTACATTTTTAAATTATAAATCAATGCTGTTTTAATTCAAGTTTAATTGTTTTTTGGAAATTAAAGTATAATTAATTTTTTTGTATTGTACGGTTATGGATGAATTATTCGAGTTGTGCGGAATTATTTAGAGTGTTTGTATTGTATGGAAGTATGGAAATATTCGCAGTACGTGTTTTTAGGTTGAATTGTAACAGGTTATAACCCATTTTACGATGGGTCATTTGGTAGGATATACTACCATTTTTGTATTCGAATCAAATATTTAAAAATATATATATATTTATTAGTAACTGGCGTAATCTAGTGCTAGTTACTAATAGTATTTTTTTTTTTAAAAATAAAAAATATATTCGTAACCGGCGTTATGATTTGCCAGTTATTAATAATACCCTTATTGTAACCGACGTAACTTAATGCCAGTTACAAATAGTGTACTGTTTTACTTGGAAAATAGACTTTTTGTAATTGGCGTTGGGTTATGCTAGTTACGAATGTACCCTTATTGTAACCGACGTAACTTAATGCCAGTTACAAATAGTGTGATTTCTTACCTAGAAAATAGACTTTTTGTAACTGGCGTTGGGTTATGCCAGTTACGAATAATACATTATTTGTAACTAACATGAGCCGGTTACGAATAATTTTCACTAGTTGTAACGGTGGCATTCGCAACCAACAATGCCAGTTATAAAAGGTCAATTTCGCCAGTTACAAATAACACTTTTTCTACTAGTGTCTTCTCCTTAACAAGCACTGCACAGAATTTGTTAAATCATGCTCCATGTCAGTACTCTCATCATTAATCAGATTATCCACCTGATCCTCCATGTTATCATCCTCGACCCTTTCCTCTATGATATCTTTATTCTCCAAGCTCCCTCCCTGACTCCCACCATCAAGATCACTCTTAATGCGGAACACTGTCTTTGAGTTTGCTTCGCAAAAGACTTTGACTAGAGCTGCCTCTCTTGGTCTAGAGGACAAAGAATTTGAGGGAGTTAGGGTTGAGAAAAGAAGCTTGCGGGCAGCACCTGGAGGGCCTAACTTGATTGCATCGGAGTCATAGTAACTCGTCTTTCGAGGCTTTCTTGAGGTCAGCAAATTTTGCTTCAGTCTCTTCTCTTCTTCAAGCTGAGCCGAAGATTGACGGGAGCACTTTCGAGGGGATGCGCGAAGCCATGGCCCATATTGGTAGATAACTCCCTGATCAACATTACTTCATCTTTTCCAGGGCAAGAGCTTTCTGTGTGATCAATGCGACCACAGAAAAAACAGAAATCGGCTAGCCATTCATATTTAAGAGTGATCCACTTTGAAGAAGAGCTGCTCGTAGCCAGAAAAAGACCCCTCCGGAGTGGTTTTTCGTTACCAATTTCGATCGATACGCATAAATTCCCCCCAACCTAAGGGATCAGAGTCGTCGAATTCAATGAATCCACCAAGATAGTCTCCAATCTCCTTCATAATCTTCTCGTTGCGCTTGTTGAAAGGCACATCTATCAATCGTACCCACATAGAAGAAAACCTAAACGCAATCTCTGATGGTTGTTCATCTCCACCGATCTCCTTTAGCACTAAAAGTTTGTCAAAAAAAAACCAAGGACATCCATTCACGACCTTCTCCTTATCCTCCTCACAGAAGAATTGGAAAGCAAAAAGGTTCATCTCCACCATCTTAATGACTACCTGGCCTTCAAGTCTCCATACATTCGTCAAGGTTCGTTTCATTGCTTCGACATTGAAAGGTTTCACGTAGTGCATAATTTCCCTACCAAAGATAAGGAAATATGATTACCAGAATCAGGTCGGGTTAAATCTTCTGCCAAATCGCCTCCTATAACCTTGGTTTCGTCCTCAGTAAGTCTAAATTTCTCGAACTCAGAAAGTAACTCTTCCTCTGCCATTGCAACAGAGTAAAATCCAGGGGAAAAAAAAAAACTGATAATCAAGTCAAGAGTGAAAATTCAAGCAGAAAGCAATTGAAATCGAGGCAAATCGAGGAGATTCGAGCACAAAACCACAAACCCTACGCTAGGGACAACCAAACCCTACGCTAGGGACTGACTTTGCACATGTTCCTAATATTCACAATGATTTAATATGAGTAAAAATTGAGATATATATTTTTGTTATGTTTTTATTATATTTTTTATTATTTTTTTTTGAAGAGTGTTATGTTTTTATTATTACTACAAATTGATTATTTATTTCAGCATAAAAGTAAACTTTTTAGGACATGCCTGGATTCCATGTAATAATTAAGAGGATAATATTTAAGGGGAGTAAATTTACTGAGGGAATAATACAGGGGTGAAATTTCATTTTTCATAGTATGGCAACAATACTGATATAATAATTAGGAAAATTTTCAAAAAACCACCCAAAAATGTGATCAATTTCTAACTAACCACCTAAAAAAAATTTATTTTAAAATACCACCCACTAAATTAATTTTTTGCTCAGATTCCCACCCAATTTGAAAATCCGGTGGCTTTTTAACATGTGGGGCCCACATAACGGCTATTAACGGCTAGTTTATGCTTTTATTTGTTTTCTTCCCCCGATTTTTTCCTATAAAAATCTATTCCTTATTCAATTTTTGATCCTAAACAAAATTTATCCCCAAATTACACAAAATTAAGCTTGCTTCTAATTGCATTTGCATCTACAACAACGACATAACTTGAATTCGCACAAGGTAATCTCAATTATCTGGAAAAATTAGGGTTCTTGCAAAATGTTAATTGGGGGAATTTGTGGGATTCATTAATTAGGGTTTTTGCATGTACACGATTTAATTGTGATATTTTGGCAATTAGGGTATTTGGTAGTACTAAATTGTGGTTTTCCTTTCGATTTCAGTTAAGTTTGCTTTATTTGTAACCTTGTTGTTTGTGTTTGTTTGTTGTTGTAATTGTTGTGGTAGCAATTAAACAACCCCACTTCAAGCAATTACTCTAGATTAATTCCTGCTGCAATTACAATTAGGGTTTTAATGACGAATTTAGGGTTCTGAATTGAACAATGCACAACAATTTTTGAAGAAAGGGGGAATTCGCTGAAAAAAGGATTGAAAATTGATTGTAGAATAGGGTTAGTTGGGAGAGTTGAATGAGAAAGAGAGTGAAACACAATGAAGTCGAGAGAAAAGGAAAAAAAAAAGAGGGAAATAACTAAACTGGGCCCCACATGTTAAAAAGCCACCGGATTTTCAAATTGGGTGGGAATCTGAGCAAAAAATTAATTTAGTGGGTGATATTTTAAAATAAATTTTTTTTTGGGTGGTTAGTTAGAAATTGATCACATTTTTGGGTGGTTTTTTGAAAATTTTCCTAATAATTATGGAAGAAGAAATCAAGAATAAACAATAACTAAAAATAGAGGAGAGAGAATCTAGAGATGAGTATAGAAGAAGGTATAAGCAAAAATGGAGATGAAAAAGATAAATAGGAGAGAATACCAAAGGAGGGAGATGGGAAGGCAGAGGAGGCACGTGAGAGTAGTAGGTTGGGAAATTTTTTGGGGAGGAGAAAGTTACTTTAGGGGGGCTAGGTAACAGTTACCCCCATTTTGAGGGGAATTATTTACCCTCTTTATTTGTTTTCCCAATGCCAAACCCAATTTTATTTCCAGAATTATTGCTCTTGTATTTTTTTCCTCCCCCATTCCTCCCAAACCAGGCAACCCCTTAGTTTGTAGAAAAAGTAATTTATAAAGTATTTTTTAAGCTATTTGATCAAATAAAAATAAACCAAAAGTAGTGTGGGTTGTAAACAAATCAAGACATGTTGTTTGACATCGTTTTTTTTTTTCATTTTTTTAAAAAATCAAAAATCATAAACTGGAAACAAGAAAAAGGTGTATTCACTTCTCAGTCGTTGTCAGTTTTAAAAATTGTCAGGATTTAATAAGTTAAACTAATTTTTAATTCATTATATGTCATATTTCATATGGTTTTGAACTACAAAAAACCAAACCACAGCAATACCAAACGAATACATATCTACTTGTTTGAGTTCGGTTTGTTAAGCAATATTGTTATTCAAGCATGTTCAAGATCAAATGCGCATTTAATTTTTATTTTTAATTTTCTATTCGAGCTATTTGAGATTGACAATGAGTTGTTCACAAACACATTGCCTTATTCACACCATTAGGGGCATTAGCGAAATCTGCCCAATAAACCATTTGTTAAACAACCCTAAATTAAATAAAAAAAAATATACAATAAACATCATCCAAACACAAACAAATTTAATTTCATTAATCTCTATTTATTGTTCCAAGCTTCACATAGAGATAAGGTCAGTCAACAAGTATAAAATCATAAACGAATTGAAGTAGCAATTTACCTAATAAGAAGCATATTGTTCTAGATGACTACCATGTCTATCACCCCATCCTGCAGGACAGAATGTAACAAAAAGCTCCTTCACCAAACAACTCACCAAAGGCGAAGGCGAATCAAACGCATAGCTAACATAAGAAGGACAAGCACCCTTAAACAAACTCGAATACAAGCTTGGTTTACACTTCTCAGGGCTCCCATACTCATTCCTGCAACAAAACCTGTCCATATCGAACTCGAGACAAGCACTCTTACAAGCCACTACATCCCCTCTTCCATCCTTAACTTGCAACTCCAATGGACAAAAATCTTTCAAGTCTCTTACGCACCCTCGAATGGCGCAGTCAAGGGATGATCGTCCTGCTATGACTGATATTGGGAGGTTGTACCCGTCCACGAGGCTAACGTCGTAGAAGCTAGGGTGGTTTTTGTCTGAGTGAAGGGTGAGCTCTACTAATGTTGCTGGCGGTTTGCCTGTGAGGCCATTGCACTCGAGCCGGCCATCGCAGTCCCCTGTTTGGCATGCTGGTTTTAAGGTTAGGGGATTTGTGGTGGTGTTGGTACTCTCTGCTTTGAAGTTGCAGCCGGTTCGAGCCCATATGCGGCCGCTCCAGTCCCATGGAGTGTGGATGGTTGATGACTGCTCGGCTTTAAGGGTGAAACCGCCATTGGCCGTGACTTGGTGGCCTGTGTTAGGGGCTGTTGCTGGCCATATTGTGAAGGGGCATTTGTTTGTGACCACTATAGGTACAATGTGTCCTGTTACTCCTGCATTTTGATCAACAACATTTTGCAATAAACAATGTGACGGATGAAATGATCATATAATCATGTTACACGTATATATACACCTGAATGTGTCAAGAGGCTATCCTTAAAGTACAAAATGAGCAACAGTAACACATTATTGGTGATTGTTCATATATGGAATTTAAAAAAAAAAAAACGAAAATAACACGAGTAAAATATATTTTGTAATCTACATACATGTGTATAGACAAACAATACATTTTATGTTTAGGTAACATACTTACATATATGTTACCTATATATGTTACCTAAACTTAAAATCAACAAAGAATTTGCTACTGTATAACAACGAGGTAAATTTTAAGCTTCTAAAAGAAGAAGAATAGATACCTAACAGAAGTAAATGCCAAACCATGGTACAGATAATTAGCTGAGGCATTTTCATTATGGCTAACATGAGTATGTAGATCAGAAGTTTAATAATGTATTATGAAATCTAAGCTAGTCTTGACAAATGAATTATATAAAGTGGCAAGTGTAACAAGTGTTAATTTAATATTATTAATTCCAGAAGCTAGTTTAACAAGTGCTACTAAATTGTTAGGTCCTTGATTTTACTTAAAGAATTGTGATCTTGACTTGTTTTGATCTTTAAAAACAAGATAGAAACGTGGCTGTATGCCTGTATATACACTTTATAGATACATTGCCTTACAAGACAAATCAAGAGAAAGCAAGACATTTGTTCATTTGGTTATAGCTAAGGAGGCATTGCAAAATTAAGAAAGACGTAAATTAGTTGAAGTCCGTAAATCTCTATGATTTTCATTCCCTAATAACACATGTGAGTATCTCACGTTGATTAAAAATAAATAATAAAGCTAATCACTTTACTATGTATAAGAAAAAGGGGTATCTTAAAATATTACCAGAAGGTTTGAGTAGAGCTTTTTTTTGTGATTATATGATATGAATTCTCTATAAATGATGAATGCGGCTAATGTCCGATAAATATATAAGTCAACATAAAAGATTTCATATGGAGGCATTTATTAATTCACGTAGATTCCACCTAAGCACCACCTTCTAATTTTTAAATTAAAGCTCTAAGGGCTTGTTCACATTTACTTAATTTCAGTTCAGTTCAGCTCCAATCAGTTCAGTTCAGTTCAATTTATTTGAGCTCCTAATTTCTCTCTCTCATAAAATATTCATTTCAGCTCAGCTCAGCTCAGTTCAGTTCAGCTCAGTAAATGTGAACTGAACACTTACAAATTACAAGGATGCAGTTCAAGGGTAATTCATCAAGCAGCATGCCATTTGTACTTTTATACTTATGTGAAGATCCTTAAAAAAAATTATAACTACTTCGTAGTTAACTGATGAGTTTGATGACTACACAATTATTTAGCAAATCTTAATTAAGGCCCATACCATTACGCATGGACCCAAAATATGGGACCATCACACCACAGTTGTAAACTTTTCGAGTCTCTTAAGCATGCGCTATATGTAGCCTTTTGGCCCTTTTTATGTTTGGAAATTACTCTATAGTCTCATTCAAAGTCAACTTATAGAGATAGAGACTGCCTTTTAGGGAGCCAAAACAGCCTAATCCATTACTAATAACTCTTATCAAGTGTATTATACCTTTTTTTTTTTATAAAGAAAAATGTATTATTCTTTGTAGTTTGTACTTTTCCTATTCTGATTTATTAATTTAAATCGAATTATTTTTAAAATTGGATTGGATTGATGTTTTTTTTAAAAAAAAAAAACGGTTTTCTATTTGCTTAGTACTGAGATGGTTTGGATTGTAAATATCTGAAATTTCTAAAATCCTCATATTCTATTAATTTATTTTTATAAAACCTAAGCTAGTAATTTGTAATTTTGAATTATCTATATATTAATCATATAAAACTATGTTTTCAAGGCATGTGTTTAGACTATGAGCAAATATTGGACCATTTGTACATTTTTAATAACATTTTATTTACAAGTAACAATAAATATTGGTTCATTGGGCCAAAGGTAAAAATAACCTTTTTTATATTAAAGGCAGGTAAAAAGAATCTAATTAATCCTGTTACAATTCGGATTTTCAAATTGGATCCAAACTACTAAATTCTATTATCTTCGTTTCATAATTATCGCAACAGTTTGACTTTTACACTATTTATGTACTTACTTTATATATATATATATATATATATATATATATATATATATATATATATACGAAGTATATTTTTGTCTTTATGTATATTTTCATTGTATCAACCTTTTATACTTCTTAGTAATATACACATATAAATGTTGGCCAAAGTTATGCATTAGCATGTGTGCTAGTCAAACTATTGGGAATTTTATGAAAAGGAGAGAGTGCTACAAATCATATTGGATTTTGTAAGTAATTCATATCATACTGAAGAACATTTGAGAACCAAATTTTTTTCAGATCAAATTATATTTGGCTTAAAACTAAACCGAAATTCGAATAGACATCCCTAAGTGGTAGGGCAAGAATGGGGATAGAAAATTAGAAATCATGTCCTCCATAAGTGGTGGGGCGAGGGTGGAACTTAAGTTGTACTCGCCCCAAATCTGCTCCATCCCGCCCCGCTTCCCCACCATTACTCACACCATATACCTAAGGGTTCGTTTGGCATTGTTGTGGTTTTCTGTTTTGAAGTTTTTTTATTGTATAAAAGTATATGATATATGTCACATAATGAATCAAAAATTATTTAAACTTATAAAAATCATAATAATTTTGAAAACTGACAACAAAAAAGTGAAAACACCTTTTTCTTGTTTTACGTTTTTGGTTTTTAATTTTCAAAAAAACAGAAAACTAAAAACCAAAATTGATGCCAAATAAACCTTAAATAAAAAATTTACCAAACCGTCTTTCACTGCCTTAATTAAAATATGAAAAATAAAATTTAACAATTTGCAATTTATCTTTATATTGAACTACAAGGAACGTGTCCAACATTCAAGGATATATTTGGTTTTAAGATCTATTGAACAATTAAGTTTTATTAGTAACAAAGGAAAACATTTATTATGAAAGTACAACACAAGTACTATAAGGCAGGTTTGAAATGATACATGGGTCTAAGGGTCTGTTCTCATTGACTGAACTCAGCTGAACTGAACTGAACTGAGCTGAACTGAAATGAATATTTTATAAGAGAAGGAAATTAGGAGCTGAACTGAACTGAACTGAACTGAACTGAATTGAGCTAAACTGAACTGAACTGAATTACAACGTAAGAGAACATGCCCTAAGATAGGGATTACACAACTGTTGGACATTTAGATGGATGATGAAGTGGGGAATGGTTTATAAAATTATACCTGGCGGGGAGAGGATGGGGATAGGAAAACCTGAATTTGCCTTGCTCCGCCCTATTTACATCTCTAGTCTTGTAGTGATATAGGAAATTTTTAACCAAAGGTTAAGGATTATTCATTATATCACTAAAATACAAAGTATTTTAAAGACTTTTGACATTGTACATGCATTAAAACTACCCAGTATAAATCTTGTAGTATATCATTAAGGTATACTTTGTACTTAATTCGCACTTCTTTTTTGTATAAACATTGCAATATCATACAAGATTTCAAGATCATCCCATATCTCTGCATTAGGTGGAAAAAAGCAAATGATACGATTGAAAATGGTATTCTATTACCTTTTCTAAGTTATCTACTCAACTACTAAATGTAGATAGAGATAGTACTCATGCAATAGAGTGTGCTTTATTGAATTTTTTAAAATGGTATATTTTATTACCTATTGTAAAATATTTACTTACTTAGTAAATGTAAATAGAGATTGTAGACTTGTGTAGTCATGGATAAAATTGAGTGTGTTGTATTACTAGATGATCCAATAAAGAATAATTGTAATGTTTCAAGAATAGAGGGAATATATAATTTACAACACTGAGTTATTTCACTCATTCTTTCAAAGAACAAATTCATTCAAATTTAGTTTTTTTTCCTTTACACGTCTATACATAAGAAGCAAGAAATATGTCATTACCTAAAGTATCACTAGCCAAAGCAATTGGAGCAATGCCATCACATACTTAGCCAATGATGCTACTAATTAAATTAACATTTGTAAAAGATTGCGTATCAACATTACAATATCAAACAAGATTGCAAGATATATAACCTAAAATCTTAGTTGATCATTATAGATTCTTACCGTATGTTGGATCGGTGAGAGGAGTAGGATCAAATCGGTAAAATCGGATCGTAGAATCGTACAATCCTACAAAATTGATAAAAGGAGTAATAAAAAGGTTGCGGCATAACTAGATAACATTTTTTAAGCCATAAAAATGCTAAAATTTATAACTTTAGTAGTTGGATAGTAATTTCTTAGTTTAGAGAAAAATTTGATATCTTTAGGCTCATTTTAATAAGTAAAGAGTAGGATTGTATGATCCTGACCGTACCGATTATATCCGATCCTGATCGATTCTACACGATTCTGTCCGATCTTGACCGATCCTATACAATCCAACAATATTTTAAGTGAAAATCAAGATCGTCCGATCCCACCCAATTATGTACGATCCTACACGATCCTACCCGATCATGTACGATCCTACAGCGATCCTGCTTGCTCAGCGATTCTGCTTCTGATCCGAATCATTTGGCTAAAATGGGATCATAGGATCGCACGATCCAACATTCCGGATCGCAATTTTGACAACTATGCCCTCAAAAACCTGTGTATCTCTTAACCTGGTTTTATAGACAAATTCACATTGTAATAAACTACTTCGTACTTCGTATGTTTTAATATGACAATATCATACAAGATTGTAAGTTATCCAGAATCATCTTTGATTTATGGTTATTGTAATAAACTACTTCGTACTTCGTATGTTTTATTATGACAATATCATACAAGATTGTAAGTTATCTAGAATCATCTTTGATTTATGGTTCTTTTTCCTTGAATTGAGTCTTGAGAGGCCTTTTTATATACATCTCTTAATCTTATTCACCCTATGCTCTCTTCCTTGAAATCAACAAGTCACATACTCAAGGCAAAACAAGGTTAGCAATAGTTACATACAAAGTATATTTATTAGTAGTAGCATCTTGAAGTTTTTTTTTTTTTTTTTTTTTTTAATTTGATCAACTTTCTTTTCAAGAAGAGGATAACAAATAGATGTACAAGTAACTTATTTACGTGTATACTCCATCAATCACCTTCGTCACTTACTAACATCTCAAAATTTCAACACTAGTTTTTAAAATCGCTCGATAACTTTACATGTCACTTTTTTACATCTGAAATTTTTTAACATTAATTTTTAAATCCGTGCAATATCTTTACATGTCAATTTTTCATATATCTCAAAATTTCAACATCTATCCATATACCTTATGTCGATTCTTCAACACTAGTTATTGAACATTAGCAGTATTAGCACAAACTCACAAACACCAGTTTTGGCACTTTACCCTCAAGAAATCAGAGATTAGCCTCTTTACATAGGATGCTAAAAACTGCTAATTAGTTAACGGTATTGGCTGTTATGCCTGTTATAGTAGCCAAAAAAAAAAAAAATTTAACCAAAAATTTCAATAATTTATTTTTCATCCTTTTTGGAAAATCTGAATCACTTTTGTCTCCCTCGAAATTCCAAAGGCATCACTTTTTCCCTCTTCATTCTCTCTCTCTGTTTCTCTCTCCTCTGTATATTTTTTTGTCTGTAAGCTGTAACTCATCTGGGTTACTGAGTTTACTCGAACCCCAACTCACCCCTTCATTGGGTCTCTCAACTCACCTCACTTAACCCACCCACCAACCCAAAAAAACAATTACCCCATTTCAAATTTGAATGCCGTTTTCTTCTTCTTCTTCTTCCCTCTTTCTCTCTCCTCCATTTTCTCCCGCTTTGACCGCCTCGACGACGGCGTCATCTTCCATTGACCCAAATCTTCAATACCCACTTCTTCAAACCCCAGAAAAAACCATTTCTTCATTCAGGCATTTCGTCGAACACCTTTCCTACATCCATGAATAAACCCAGTAAGAAACAGAGGTCTGATCTTAACTCTGAATCTATCAATACCATTCTTCAAGATCTAACCATTAAAGACGACAATGTCAGTGTTAGTGTAAGTCCTTGTAGTAGTACTACTCTTTCTGGGTCTGAAATTAGTGGGTTTATCAAGCCTAATAATATTGGGTGCTTGCTTAAAATGGCGGAAAATGGAGAGAGTGAAAAGAGCGTGAGTTCGAGTATGAGCGAGATGAGTAATTCTAGCAATAATCCCAATAGCAATGTCGATGCGAGTAGCAGCTTTCGAAGTAGCAACCCCAATAAACCTCATAAAGGCAACGATATTAGAATGGAGGCGATTCAATGTGTTAAAGGGAAAGATGGTGAGTTGGGTTTAGCACATTTTAGGCTGTTAAAGAAATTAGGATTTGGTGATATTGGAAGTGTCTATTTAGCTGAACTTCGAGGAATGGGGTGTTTGTTCGCAATGAAAGTTATGGATAAAGGGATGTTAGCAGGAAGAAAGAAGTTATTGAGAGCTCAAACTGAGAGAGATATTCTTGGTTTGTTAGATCACCCATTTCTTCCAACACTTTATTCACATTTCGAAACCGATAAGTTTTCTTGCTTGCTTATGGAGTTTTGTAATGGTGGTGATCTTCATATTCTTCGGCAGCGGCAGCCTAGCAAGCATTTCTCCGAGCAGGCGTCGAGGTTGGTTTTATTTTACTTTATTTTTGTCGATCTGTTGTTGATTTTTCGACGATTGGTTTATACACCCGGGTGTACAGTTGCTCCGAGAGAGCAATAGTTAGGATCAATAAAAGTGTAAAGATGATGAGGGGGATTAATTGGTCTTATATTTAATGATAATGTTTTGGTAGTGTGGGTATGTGGGATCTAAAGTTGTTAATTTAAGGTACTTATGGCTGTAAATTGGGGGACATCCTTCTCTAAGAAAATCACTTGAAAAATGTCACTTCAACAAAAGATTTAGTTTGTTTTGTGGGGACTCTATTGAATTGATTTTTCCGATCTTCACATGTTTTTTTTTTTTTTAAATGATGGAATTGATTGACATAATACGGTCAAATTTATGACATGCTTCAAATTTTGACCATTTTTGCATGTATGCTTACATTTTAATTGATGTGAGAAAACCCTTGAATTATTTTGAATCTTTCGTTTGTCCTTTCAATCATAGGATAAGTGAATTTCAGGTGAAGAGAACGGAATCTAAATTGATTGGTTTTCAATTATTGCAGGTTTTATGCATCTGAGGTGCTTCTTGCCTTGGAATATCTACACATGATGGGTGTAGTGTATAGGGACTTAAAACCCGAAAATGTATTGGTGAGGGAAGATGGGCATATTATGCTCTCGGACTTTGACCTCTCGTTAAGGTGTTGTGTAAATCCGACTCTTGTTAAGGGAAGCTATCAGCCCAACTGTACAAACACATCTTACTGCATTGAACCTCGGTGCATTGAACCGTCTTGCAAACTACCTGTTTGCGTTGAGCCCTCTTGCTTGCAGCCTTCCTGTTTCAGGCCACGCTTTTTCAGCTCCAAGTCTAGTAAGGTTAAGAGCGAAAAGTTTAATTTTACAAACACATCCTCACTTCCAATTCTTATTGCAGAACCTACCAATGCCCGCTCTATGTCATTTGTTGGAACACATGAGTACTTAGCTCCTGAAATAATTAGAGGAGATGGTCATGGCAGTGCTGTCGATTGGTGGACGTTTGGTATTTTCTTGTATGAACTACTCCATGGTAAGACACCATTTAAAGGCAATGGAAACCGCGAGACATTGTTCAATGTAGTTGGGCAGCCCCTCAAATTTCCTGAGGGTTCACCAGCAAGTTTTGCTGCTAAAGATCTGATCAGAGGTCTGCTTGTAAAAGATCCCCAAAAAAGATTGGGATTCAAGAGAGGTGCAACTGAGATCAAACAACACCCCTTCTTCGAAACTGTAAATTGGGCTCTCATTCGCGGTAGTACCCCTCCAGAAATTCCGAAACCTATAGACCTCACAATCTATAATCACACATCCAAAACATCATCCGAACCTCCTAATGACAAACAAGGTGCTTCAGACTCAGATAGGTCTTCGGGTCCTTATTTAGACTTTGAATTTTTCTGAAATTTCCCTCATTTATTTAGGATAATCTTTGATTAGTTAGGATAATATAAATGCCATTTGTGTATCCATTTTTTCATCAATGAAGTTAGGCCTTTTTTCCTGCAGTATTATGCTTGGCTTATTTGTGCTTCAAAAAAATCAAAATCATATGCTTTTGTGGGGAAAAAAAAACAGTACTACCTTACCCATTTCTCTCAAATCACAACGTATTCTCTTTTGGGACTATGACTCTACGGAGTATTAGACTATATTCTTTTAAACTTGTTTTCAGTTCAATTCACCTCAACTCAGTTCATTATTTTACTTCAATTCGATTCGTTTTGGCTCTATACAACTCAAAAGGACACGACCAAATTACTATACGGTAGGATTCATGCTCACATATCCGAGTATGATTCTCTTTTTCCAGCTAGTTAAAAAAGGAACAGGGAAAGATGCCTAGCTTTATTATGATTTGTCTTTCATTACACTGCTGTCATAAGTCATACTAAGCACAAAAGAAATTCTTTTTCATGTGGGTTCTTGTTCAATGTCACGATTTGCCTCGAACTAGGGAGGGAGAAAGAGATTGTGGCCCCAATTTCCCTTTTATTTGGCCAGCGTGAATCTTCACTTTTAGAGGAAACTATTGAAAATGGACTACTCATTATGAAAATTCCATGCAAAAGTCAGTTGAATTTCTTTTTTTTTTTTTTTTTTTTTGGGGGGGGGGGGGGGAGAGTTAAATTGACAGTTAATTTTCTATGTTGCATTTTGCTTTTCTTTTGTTGGAGGTTATGCTCCCATGTTCTTTGTTAGGGTTGGGTTCATCTTGCTTTGCTCCATAATATATTTTGACCAAAAAAATTAAATAATTTAATTAAATTATGTTCAAGTGTTTTAAGAAAACGGTTAATTTAAGAAAGAAATGCACTTAAAAAAAAGTGAGGGAGAATGTATTTATAACATGAAAAAATGATTATGTAAAATCGAGTTAGGCATAAGATTGGGGTCTATGTTTTTCATTTTTTCCACCTTTGGGAACTCCTAGTTTTTTTTTCCCACCTTTTAGAACTCTAGTTAAAAATGTGATTAAGTAATCCATGTTTAACTTACCAGACTAAAAACCCAATCCCTTCAATAAATTTCTGCCAAAACAATCTAAGGGTCTGTTCTCTTACGTTGAAATTCAATTCAGTTCAGTTCAGCTCCTAATTTCCTTCTCTTATAAAATTTTCATTTCATTTCAGTTCAGTTTAATTCAGCTCAATTCAGTTCAGTTGAGTTCAGTCAATGGGAACAGGCCTTAAGTCCCTTCATTAACTTGCTGTCAAATCCAAAAAAACATAGGTCCTTAAAAAGTGAAGTCTTAGGCTTGATTGCTTTTCAAAATTCTAGGTAATTCCATATCAACTATATTTATTCGATTCAATAGTACTTCCTCTGTGTTTTTTGGTGCATCAGTTTGACCATTATTAAGTCTTACCAAAATGAGTTGAATAGAATAAAATGGTGTAGTGGGATTTGTTGGAAAATAAAAAATCGTAGAAAATATATAATAGTGTAATAGTTTGTTAAAGAGCTAAGTAAGGGTTTTGTGAGTAGAGAAATAATAATTCTAAAAGGGTATGAATGGGGACCATGTGATGAAAGTAAAATAATAAAACCAGGATGTCTAAATAAACGAATGATTTAAAAAATAGTTAATTTAAGAAAGAAATGCACTAAAAAAAGTGATGAGAATGTATTTGTGGCAAAATAAATAAATAAATAAATAAAATTACATTATACAATTAATTAGTATAGCATAAAATCTTATATGTGGCTTACTATATAGGGTTACCACTTCACACATATGGTAATTAATGGAATAATAAGGCTTAATGTGATAAGAAAATGGGACAACGTACCTCGACAGATGTGGAGTTACTCCAATGAAAAAATAACACAAACTATTATGTAGTTTTGGTGGTGTGACACTACTACATCTCTTCCCTTCTCTTTCTCTCACCTTTTTCTCTTCCCTTCTCTTTCTTTCTCTTGCGATTTGGTGGTACATTTTGCTGGTGCAGTTTAGAGGTTATTTGGTGGCGATTTGATGGTGTGATTTGTTAATGGCGATTTTGGTGTGATTTGGTGGTGGCGATAGGGGTGCGATTTGGTGGCTACTTGGTGCGATTTGGTATGGCGATTCGGTGGTGACTCTTAGTGGTCTAGCTATTTGGTGTTGCATATTGGTGGTTTGCTGCTAATGGTGGTGGCTAGGTATTTGCAATGAAAAGTTGCGAGAGTGTTTTGCGGTGGAGGTGGTGGCGATGTGGGTTGATTTGGTGGTGTTTGTTGTTGCGGGGTGACGCGATGAATTATGCGGTTGTTGTTATTGTAGTTTGTTATATTGGGTTGGTGTTGGTGAATTGGGTAGAGAAGGTGGCGTGAGTGGTGGTGGTTGAGTTTGGAGTTTGAGCATTTTTGGGTTGTTGGCTAATATATTATTCATTTGAAATAGAAATAAAGAAAAAAGAGGAAGAGGGGGAAAGATGAGAGAGAAGGACGCACAAATATTGTATGTTGTTAATCATATTAGCTTACAAATGACGTATATCAACCATTAAAATGAACATATCAGCCAATTGATGTCTAATATTAGTCAGTATTAGACACAAATTGGACATTAATAAAAACGTATCATTCAACACAAGGAACATATTAGCTAACAAATGAAACATAGCAGCTAACAATTTAAAAAGAACATATTATCCAACAAAAGATACATAAAGGAACATATCAACCAACAAAAGGATCAAATCAGCAACACAAAAGCAATAGTTAAGCTAAAAAAATAAACACATCAGCCAACACAATGGGACATATAAGCCAACAATTAAAATATACATATTACTCAACAAAATGAAAATATCAACCAACCAAAGGAATATATTAGCTAACTAATGTCAGATAGCAGCCAACAAAAGGAACATATCAAAAAAAAAAAACAACATATCAGCCAATAAAAGGAATATATTAGACAACACAAAAGCCATATCAACCAACAAATGACATATATCAGCCAACACTTGAAACATATCATCCAACCAGTAAAATATATCAGCCAACCTATGTGCGACAGTCTGTATCGAATACATTCTCAATGAAAAAATGTGGTTACTTTCGTAAATAAGTTAATTTATTCTTTTTGTCAGTTAAAAAGACCAATAACAAAAGTTAATGAATTACACAAATGAAAAAATGACATTACTATTTTCTAAGAGAAGATATTCGGTGAGGCTTGTAACACCCCAATAATTCTCTCTTTAAACCTGTGAGGACCCTGAACAATATTCAAGAGAATTACTGGCGTGCTACCGCCCATTCTCAATGAAAAAATGTGGCTACTTTCGTAAATAAGTTAATTTATTCTTTTTGTTAGTTAAAGAGACCAATAACAAAAGTATAATGAATTACACAAATGAAAAAATGACATTACTATTTTTCTAAGAGAAGATATTCGGTGAGGCTTGTAACACCCCAATAATTCTCTCTTTAAACCTGTGAGGACCCTGAACAATATTCAAGAGAATTACTGGCGTGCTACCGCCCATTCTCAATGAAAAAATGTGGCTAATTTCGTAAATAAGTTAATTTATTCTTTTGTTAGTTAAAGAGACCAATAACAAAAGTATAATGAATTACACAAATGAAAAAAATGACATTACTATTTTTCTAAGAGAAGATATTCGGTGAGGCTTGTAACACCCCAATAATTATCTCTTTAAACCTGTGAGGACCCTGAACAATATTCAAGAGAATCATTGGCGTGCTACCGCCACGTGTTCAAACGTTAAGGCTTTATCAGAAAATAGCAGCGGAAAAACTAACTCAATTATAAATAAGTTTCAAAACCAATAACCAAAACCAAATTAAATCATACAACTTGGAACCATTAAGGCCCTTATTCAAAACCCCACAAAATTAGTAAATAAATAAAACCAGAGTTTAAATAAATTCAAACTTGCAAAAGAAATAAATTGCGAACAATAACCAACTCTCCACTCAAAATCCCACAACCCTTATATGAATGCTGCATGTGTAAGAACCTGTGGTTAATCTGCTCCCCAATATTACAAGTGTAAAAATTGGATCATCACAGGGTCATTGAAAAGCAAAGTCCATGACCAAAGAAAGACACACAAAGCACGCAATCAGCAAAGCTGAGTACATACAAACTGCAAAACATTAAAGAAATCCCCAACATGCTACTAATAATCAATCATTGAGGACAAGTCTAAAAGCAAAAAGTGTTTTTTTTTTAAGAAATATAAACAAGAATAGGAGGAAAGGAGTTACCATTGACCTTGATGTAGTATCTTTCATGTATACAAGATGATAAAAGAATAGTGATTAGTAGCAAAACAAATAAAGATATAATATCATGTGTGGATCATGCACATAAGAGTTGAACAATCATTCCACAATTCATAAATAAACCGTCATTTGCAAAACTAAGTCAATTATATCACAAGCTTACTTGAATTCGTTTTACCATCAACGACACTAATCAAATCATCAAGCCAAATGACTACAAGCAAAGACAATATATACAACGCCTAATCTAATTAAAGAACAATTTTTTTTTTGAATTAAGAGGGGGGGGGGGGGGAAGAGGTACTAGCTAAAGAATTTGGATTTATGGGAAGAAGAACTAGCTAAAGAAGATTGGAAAGGAGAGGAGAAAAGGAGGAGAGGAGAAACTAACTAAAGAATTTGGATTTAGGGCTTTGGATATTTTGGGTTTTGGATTTTTGGGAAGGAGAAAAAGCTCATCAACAAATATCATCACCAATGGGGAAGCACATAAACCAAACCAAGCTCATTAAAATGCGGACATTTAACCAATAATTAACCAACCAAGATAGGCGGAGCATAATCATATTAAGCACAAAACTAGCAACATCAAATCCCAACTCAACACAAGGCCTAAATACTCCCCCAAGCTAGACATTTAGTTACCGCTTTAATGAAATAAAATAGGCAATGAAGTAACCTCCCCCAAGCTTGGGATTGGCACCGTCCTCGGTGTCCCAAGAAGTGAAAGGGGCATTGAAACGGTAACTAGAATGTCTAGATCATCTATGGCGCCCCGGCGAATAGTGATAATTGTAGTTGAAATCTACATCACTAGAACTGGTCGGGTCGTCTACATAGGGAGGTAGATCATAGTTGGGGCAAGAGCGGTAGTGACCATAATCCGGCATACCTTGTTCACCCCAACCACCATCATACCCGGGTGGGAACCCGTAATTTTTCTTTAGGGGGGGATCAAGCACCTCAAAGATGAACTAG